AAAAGTTTAATTCTTCAGTCAGACTTGACTCTATTTCAACTGTTCAATAATCACATTATATAGAGTGTTTCCATTATCACAGAAAGTTATGTTGGGTCACAGTGTTTGGTTTTATTGATAATTGTAGTTAAGGTTCAGAGCATTCCTTTGAAAGGTAGAAACATCTATCATTTGGCTCAGCTGATAGAGTGTTGGCCTGCAGACTGAAGGGTACCCTGTTCAGTTATGGTCAAGGGCACATACCTTGGTTGCAGGCTCCTTCCTGGCTCAGGCCCTGGTTGGGGTGCATGTAGGAGCCAAACAATTGATGTGTTTCTCTCACATCGATATTTCTCTTCGTCTTTCCCTCTCTCTCTATCTGAAAATCAATGGGAAAATATCCTCGGGTGAGGATTTTTTTTTTTTTTAAATGTATGTTTTTAGATGATAGTTATAGAGGAGACTGGTCTCCTGTCAGTACAAAGATCAAGCAAAGTTAAACTGTAAACAGGGACATTTAGCACACATAGCAAAACACAAAAATGAAACAGAGCTGTTGCTTCTGGTGATGCAATTTTCTGAACAGTGAGTAACACTTGCTAAGGTTCTGAACAAAGTCAGTCTTCCATCACTTTACACCGTGATCACATTCTTAGGAATTTAGCGTACATTTAAACTTTTATTAAAGTCACACCACTGCCGAAACTGGTTTGGCTCAATGGATAGAGCGTCGGCCTGCAGACTGAAAAGTCCTGGGTTCAGTTCTGGTCAAGGGCATGTACCTTGGTTGTGGGCACATCCCCAGTAGCGGGTATGCAAGAGGCAGCTGATAGCTGATTCTCTCCCATTGATGTTTGTAACTCTCTATCCCTCTCTCTTCCTCTCTGTAAAAAAAATCAATAAAATATATTTAAAATAAATAAATAAAATCACATCACTGTTTATCTTCAGTAGACACAGTTTCAGGCTTGATGTCTAGTTCAGAGGCAGGACAACATTGTACAGAAGAGTTCTCTGTATCACAGAATATCTTCATCCCACTCCCTCTAAATATCAGTCCGATAGCATGACCACCAAGACGTACCTCCAAACATTTCCAGCACAGCTGGTATAAATATTCAAGAAGGTGGACCCTTCAGATAATGTTCGTAAGCTGGTTCCTTTGTTGTTTATATTTTCTTGATTTTTCTCTTTGTTCAATATTTTAAAATTGAAATATAATGATGCTGTGGTCCAAGTTCTTTTAACACCTGTCATTATTTATTCCTATTAAAGTTAAACCTAACTGACCAGGAGTAATGAAAGAAAAATTCCTTCTCTAACTATGTTATGGCCTTGTGTCTTATATCCATTAGAAAATGTCTTGGACTGAGTAAGTAGAAGCTACACTTGACACTCTCATGACCAAACTAGAAATACAACTAAAATACACCCTGTTTCAGAAAAAACACCCTGAAAAATCAAATGAAGACTAGCTGGAGAGAGCCCTTATAACCCAGGACAGAAAGTGGAGTCCACAGAGGCTGGTAGGAAGTACTGAGATGCAAAAGGAATGGCCAGGTTCCCACAGACAGCAGCTGAATGTCTGGAGAGATATCTCAGCTGTGGTGGTTTCCCATTGAGAACTCGGGGTTCTAAACCCAATCTGGGCTCCCCATTCTAGAGCACCAGAACTGAGAAAGGTGCCCACAGAACATCTGGCTGTGAAAAGCAGCAAGGTTGCTGTCTGCCAGGGAGAGAAGGCTGGAAATGCAGACAACACACACACGTATAAGGCCAACACACACAATTTCACGTGCAACCACTTACCTTAGGCTCTGGGAGAGGGAGGGCAGAGTGGCTGGAGCTCTGGGAGGAGAGTCCAGGGTTGGGGACTCCGGGGTTGGAGCTTCGAGAGCAGCCACCCCGCATTCCTGTGCTGAGTTATTCCCTCATGCTTCTGAGGACATCTTTTCCCCTGGACCTTTGCTATCCAGGCAGTTTTTACCTGGAGAGGCATTTGCCCCACGCTGTGGTCTATAACCTGAGGCCAATCGGGGCTGATAACAATCAGACAGCAGGCAGAAGTGGGTCTCTGGAGGCTTTAAGTCTTTGCCTGATCTGATTCTGGGCCTGGGCTAGGAAAAGCAGACCCTAATGGTCCTTTCCAAAGATACCCAGCTGAGAGAGCCACAAGCTGTGGATTACCGATAACTCCAAACAAGACACACAGGGTCAGTCAGAAACTGTCTAACATTGTCCTGCACTAAAACTTGGAGTCATAGCAGATCTACCTAAACACACAAACACAAACCAAAACAGGCAGCCAAAATGAGGAGACAAAAAAATGACCCCCCGAATGAAAGAACAAGAGAATGCTTCAGAAGAAAAGCTAAATGAAATTGAGCTAAGAAATTTATCAGATATAGAGTTCAGAATAGTGATGGCAAAGATGCTCAACAGCATGAAAAAAGATATAGTAAATATGAAAAAAGATCTGTCAAAAAAAATGACATCACTAATAAAGAACACATTGGAAGGAATACAGAGCAAATAAGAGGAAGTCAAGGATCAAATCGGTGAATGAGAAGACAGGATAGGGAAAAAAATCACTCAGAGAACCAAAAAGAAAAGATTAAAAAAACAGGAGGACAGCTTAAGGGAGCTATGGGACAATATGAAAGGTAACAACATTCTCATGAGAGGCGTGCCAGAAAAAGAAGAATGTGAGCAAGGGGTAGAGAACATGTGTGAAGAAATAACGGCAGAAAACTTCCCTGGCTTGGTGAAGGAAAAGACACACAAGTCCAGGAGGCACAGAGAGTCTCAAGAAGAATAATCCAAACAGGCTCACACCCAGGCACATCATCATTAAAATGCCAGAAACTAAAGACAAAGAGAGACTCTTAAAAGCAGCAAGAGAAAGGCAATTTGTTACCTACAAAGGAGCTCCCAAATAAGGCTGTCTGCTGATTTTTCATCAGAAACTGCAGGCGTAAAGGGAATGGCATGAGGTACTCAAGATAATGAAAAGCAAGGATCTAAAACCAAGATTACTTCATGCATCAAGGCTATCATTCAAAATAGATGGTAAAATAAAGAGATTCCCAGACAAAAAGAGTTCATCACCACCAAACCAGTACTGCAAGAAATTCTAAAGGGACTGCTATAATGAGAAGAAATAGAGAAACATAGGCATACAGAATTTAAAATGGCAATAAATAAGTACCTATCAATAATACCCTTAAATGTAAATGGATTATATACTCCAAGCAAAATATATAGGGTAAATAAATGGATTAAAATCCAATTATATGCTGTCTACAAGAGACCCATCTCAGAACAAAAGACTCACAGGATGAGAGTGAAAGGATGGGAAAATTTTCCATGCAAATGAAAACAAAAAAAAGCTGGGGTAGCAATATTCATATCTGACAAAATAGATTTCAAAATAAAGGCCATCATAAGAGACAGCAAAATTTACCACATGATACTAAAGGGATTGGTCCAATAAGAGGATATAACCCTGGTAAAATATGCACCCTATATAGGAACACCTAAATATATATATAAAAAAAAAAAATTCTTGAAGACTTAAAGGGAGAGAGTGACAGAAAAGGGAGAGAGTGACACAATCATAGTAGGAAACCATAACACTCTTCTGACTTCACTGAATAGATACTTAGGACAAAAAAAAAAAAAAAATTAACAAGGAAACAGAAACTCTACATGACAGAATAGAGTGGGTCAGAAATTTCTTGACATTTAAAAAACATTTCACCCCAAAGCTATAGAATATACATTCTTCTCAAGTACACATGGATCATTCACAAAGATAGACCACATGTTAGGTAGGACACAAAACAATTCTCTACAAGTTCAAGAAGATTGTAATCATATCAAGCATCTTCTCAGACCACAGTGGAATGAAATTAGAAATTAACTACAGTATGGGAGAAACCAAGATGGCGACATAGGGAAACACCTAAACTGCTGCCTCACACAACAATTTCAAAACTACAGACAGAAGTTTTAGTTCACAACTAAAAGACAGAATAGACGGCATCCGGAATCACAGGAAAGCTGGCTGAGTGGAAATTATACAACTAGAAGGAAAGAGAAAAGCTCACAGAGAATCAAAAGAGCTGCAAAGGATTGAGGTACGGAGACACGCACACAGAAAGGAAGGGCGGCGGAGTGCCTGGCTGGTGTTCTCTGGCGGGAGAGAGAAGGAAGCCCCAACTTCACTGAACCCCAGTTCCGCATGCATTGAACCCCAGTTCTGGGCTAAACCCTTTGGACCCAGGCTCATATGGGGGAGTCTGGACTGTCAGGTAGAGAGAAAGGCACACAGAGAATCAGGGAAGCCACGGTGGGCAAGAGTCACTAGTTCTCCCTAGCGTAAGGGAGTCGGAACCCCAGTTCACTCTCCCATACCTTTCTGTAGTGCTGATGTTTAAACTCTTAAAGTAATTGATCTAGGAAGAAAGGTAAATGAGTGTCAGTTTTTATTTGGTGTTGCATTACCTGGCTGTGTTATTGATCAAATTGAGCCATCACGCATGTTATTGCCAGATTAGTCTTTAATTACAATCAGTCTCCATTATTAAGTACTTTGCACTTAGATTCTATTTTCAATTTTGCTTTTATAAAATTTCCTTTAAAAGATTTTAATTTTGGAAGAAAAATGTATCTGAAAACTTCTTTGTCACCTTGATGCTCTCCAACTTTATACACAAATGATGACATAGTAAAAGAAATATTAATTTCAAGAACCAACTTGTTGGAATTTCAGTTTGGAAAATATTTTTATTTTATTTTTATTTTTATTTTGGTTATAAGAATCTTTAAAGGCAACTTTAAGATGAAAATTCTGACATAACTAAATTACTTTTATGTCAAAAATTATTTCTCAGATACTGGTGTTAATTTCTTTATCTTGAGCCAACACAAATCAAAACTAGAATTTGTATTATACTTTAAACTAGTTGCTCATTTTATGCGGAATTATGGATTTTTTACTTATTTTTTCTTCTGCTTAGGAAATACCAGATTGGAGCCAGAGTCCGCTTGCGGCTGCTGGATCTTGAACTTACGTCCAGGTTCCTGGGAGGGACCTCAGACACGACGTTACTGGAGGCGGACGCAGTGCTCCTGGGGCTCCAGGAGAGCAGAAACCCCAGAGCAAGAGAGGAGCCTCGTGAGCAATGAATGGACTTGCTCAGTGTCTTCCTCCTTGGTATCACCCAGACGGCCGTCAGCAATGCAGTTAGAAAGCTGAATAAATGATTGGAAGAAGACAACGAAAGCAGTAATTGTAGCTCTTGTTTGTTAGAACTTCCTTAGCTGTATCTCCCTTCCCCTTTTGTACCATTTCCCCCTTTGTTTGGATAGTGTAACCTGAACCGAGCAATGCTGTGATTGAATAAACACGCTGTGAGCGCTGTGTGCTGTCACCATTCTAACCCCAAGAACAGCAGTAAGTGAGACAGTCGCTCACATCATGGAGCTTACCCTTGACCAGGGGAAATAGACAACAAATAAGTGAAAAACGTAGTGTCTTAGAGAGTGACGTGTGCTGAGGACAAAAATAAGAAGGGAGGGCTGAGGTCCAAATAGACTTTTTCCCGAAGAGGACATACAGGTGGTCAGGAGGCCCCTGGGAAGGTGCTCAGCATCCTGGAAAGGCACATCCGAACCACAGCGAGGTACCACCTCACCCCTGCTGGGATAGCCCTTACCAAAAGGACAAGAAATAAGTGTTTGTGAGGACGCCGAGAAAAGGGAACCCTTGTGCACTATTGGTGGGGGTGTCAGTTGGTACAGCCACTGTGGAAAACAGTATGGAGGTTGCTCAAAAATTTAAAAGAGAGCTACCAGCATTCCACTTACGGTATTTATCAGAATAAAATGAAAACACTAACTCAAAAAGATGTTCATTGCAGCATTAATTACAGTAGCTGAGATATGGAAACAACTTAGGTTGCTGGATGAAGAGGTAAAGAAGATAATGTTAAATACATAAATTGGAATATTACTTGGCCATAAAAGGAAGAAAATCTTGCCATTTGTGATAACATGGATGGGCCTTGAGGGAATTATGCTAAGTGAAATAAGTTAGAGAAAGCTATAGACCACATGATCTCACTGATATGTAGAATTTAACAAAAGGGGAAAAAAAACAAGCCTATGGATAAAGACTAGAGAATAGATTGATGGAGGGGGTTAAGGAGGGTGAAATGGGTGAAGGGGATTAAAAGGTATAAGTTTCCAGCTATAAAGTAAGTCATAGGATGTAATGTACAGCATGGTGACTATAGTTCATGATACTGTATTGTAATTTGCCGGTTGCTAAGAGAGTAGATCTTTTTTTAAAAAAAAAATTCTTAATATATTTTTATTGATTTAGAGAAGAAAAGAGAGAGAGATGCATCAATGACGAGAGAGAATCATTAATCAGCTGCCTCCACACCTTGAACCTGCATCCCATGCATGTGCCCTTCAATCCACTGAGCCAAACCAGCTAGGGTAAGAGAGAATATCTTAAAAGTTCTTTTTACAGGAAAAATTTGTGATTATGTATGGTGATTGATGTTAACTAGACTTATTGTGATCATTTTGAAATACGTAAAAATATAGAATTATGCCTTATATCGAAACTAATATGTTATATGTCAATTATAGAAAAAAAAAAAAAAAAGCAGGGGCCCTAGCCGGTTTGACTCAGTGGATAGGGTGTTAGCTGCAGACTGAAGGGTCTGGGGTTTGGTTCTGGTCTAGAGCATGGACCTCAGTTGCAGGCTCAATCCCAGGCCTCAGGCAGGGCATGTGTGGAAGGCAACCAATCCATGTGTCTCACATCGATGTCTCTCTCTCTCTCTTTCTCTCTATCCCCCCTCCCTTCCACTCTCTCTAAAAATCAATGGGAAAAATCCCCAGGTGAGGATTAACAACAATAAATAAATAACGTAGAATGACTGAGATTGAACTTTAGTGTGGTGTCAATGGAAGGCCTCAGATTTATGGAAAAGATTTTATTTTTCCACAGATATAGTATTTTGAAAAATCTATTCTATGAGTTTTTTATTGTTATTGAAGTTAATTGATTTATGACATTATACTGGTTTTAGGTCTACACCATAATGACTTGATATTTGTACATAGTGTTTCATGCTCACAGTAAGCCTAGTTAACATCCGTCACCATTCATAGTCATCAGGAATTCACTTATGAATAATGGCTGGAGGAAATGGAGCAAGCCATGTGAGCCTCTGGGAAGGAATATTCTAACAGAGGGAATGGCCAGTGCGAAGGCCCCGAGGCAGGACTATGCCTTTCCAGTTTAGAGGATGGAGGAAGCTGAGCATCTGAGCGGAAGAGGAGGAGTACAGAGTACATGAGCCTGGGGAAGTGAGAGACCAGGTGTGGACTTGGGCCTTTTTACTCTGAGATGGAGGATCACTGGTGGAATTGAGCAGAGGAGGGATGTACTCTGACTGACTGGCTAGCGGCATCCCTTGAGTAGACCAGCTGAGTAGGCTGACCAAGAACTGGGGCAGCAGCAGCAAGACCTGGAGAAGATTTCAGTGATCCCGGCTGGGACCAGTGTGGTGGCAGTGGGGTGGGAAGGCTATCTGGATTTATGTTGAAGGTAGAGGCACAGGTCCTTCCTAACGCTGGGTGTGGAGTATGTGATCAAGAGAGGAAGGATGACAGCAGGGTGTTTGCACAGGGAGCGTTGAGTTGCCCTTAACCGGGATGGGGAAGGGCGGGGTTGAGCGGCCCATGAGGAGCGTCTGGACGGGCTAAATCTGAGAAGCCTCTTAGCCATCTAAGTGGACATGTTCTGAAGGCAGTTGGACATGTGGGTCTGGAGTTCATGGGAGAGGTTTGCACAAAAGATAGAACCTTGCAAATCACATTTTATCATACTCCACTGATGTAGGTCAGGAGCCCAGAGCAAAGGTCGCCGCGAGAAGAGTTCCTGTCAGTCAGGAATAGCCCGGTGCTGATGGTCCCACTGAGCTCAGTGCCTGGAGATGCCAGGGAGCACCGCTTGGCCCGCACACGGGGCGGCCTCTGGCACAGCAGGGGGAGGCTGCCTCCGAGCTGCCTCCTCTAATTAGGCTGACTCCCTCGTAAACCACAGTATTGGGGTAGGATTGACATGTAAATGCTCAACACGAAGTGTATAACTCAAGGAATTAGAAGGTAAGTACACAGCCATGAAGCCATCACCACATCAAGGTCAAGGCATCTTCATCACCACCCAATGTCTCCTGCTCCTCCCCCCAGCCCTTTAATTGAGAATTTTTTTTTTGAGAAAGACCGCTAGCAAGATGGAAGTCACTATTGTACGTAACTTAACCCCAGAAGTGACATTCCCTTGGTGTCGCTATAGTCTGTTTGTTGGTAGCAAGTTGAGAATAGAGAGGATTAACACAAGGCTGTGAATGCCAAGAGGTGGGGACATTGGGGTCACCCGTAGGGTGCCTGCCGATGTATGTATAAGGCAGGTAATTTTCTGTCCGGGTTATAGTCCCTGGGTCAGGAGTGGCAGGATTTGGACCTGGTAGAGATCACAGGATCTGGTCTTTGGGCAGAGATTGTGATTGGATGAGGCTTGGGGGTGAGGGTCATGGATGTGACGTCATTGAGGAACTCATTTCTGTAATTGGTTTAAGCTAAAGACATGAGTAAGTTCAGGAAAGATTTAGTTGACTGAATGGTAAATCCAGATTTGGGTATTAAAGGAGACCAGGGGTCCTGGCTGGTTGGCTCAGTGGATAGAGCATCCCCTGCTGACTGAAAGGTCCTGGGTCTGATAACAGTCAAGGGCACATGCTCGGGTACGGGCTCAGTCCTCAGTAGGAGGCGTGCAGGAGGCAGCCGATCAATGATTCTCATCATTGATGTTTCTCTCTTCCTCTCCCTTTCTCTCTGAAATCAATAAAAATATATTTTTTTTAAAAAGGAGGGGGAGGGAGGGAAAGACCAGGGTTTTGAAGCATATCCGCAAACTCCTGAGGCCAACATGAATGGCATACCACGAGACTCTAACACCACAGGCTGGTCAGACCATGGGACTGACTCAGGATTGCATTACCTATATTCATATTATTTGGTTTTTAAAAATAAATACACATTTTGGTATAAATTCCTAAGGGGAACATGTAGTTTATTTGAAAAGACCATAGCCTTTCCCAATGTTTCTCTCAAACTAATTACAAAGAACTCAGATGTTCTGAGCCAAAGGATGTAGGAAACTCAATGAGCAAATGTCTTATTGACATTCCCATACCTGCCTTCTGCAAGTGGAAATGGAAACAGCCTCAGGTGAGGAGTTCTATGGACCCTGATCATCCTGTGGACAGATGGAATCTTTAGAGACCAAAAAATGGCTCAGATTACTACCATTTGCTTCACAAAATTGCCAGCTTGAAAAACCCTCTCTTCTGCCCTACTCTATGTCTCAACTCATTATGGTTTGGGGAAAAATGCACATGAGGCTGCGATAGCAATAATTATTGCAAATGAATGAATAAAGGCAAACAAGATTCTGTGTCTTCCCCAGCAACACTTAAATGCAGCTTTCATTTTAGATGCAGCAAATACCACAGAAGCCAGTAGAGAAAGATGTCCCAGCTCCCCCAACCATACTGAAAGGAGGGGGAATTCCACTCAGGCAGGCAACTGAGACTAGGATTGTGGGTAAATGCTGCAAGCTTATTGGCCAGAAATACTGGCATGTCTCAGTTATGTTGCTGCATAACTATCTTTTAGACATAGTGACGCCCAGTGTACTACTAACTTCTCAAAATAGAACCACAAAATGGATGACAATTTAGGTAATCCCATGCCTGTGATTTTTTTTTTTTAATATTTCCAGTGCATTAGTCATTTCTACCTTTGATAACACCTTCCCCCTCCCCCCCCCTTTTTAAAAAAAATATATTTTATTGATTTTTTGCAGAGAGGAAGGGAGAGAGATAGAGAGCTAGAAACGTCGATGAGAGAGAAACATCAACCAGTTGCCTCTTGCACACCCCCTACTGGGGATGTGCCCGCAGCCAAGATACATGCCCTTGACCGGAATCAAACCCAGGACCCTTCAGTCCGCAGACCGACGCTCTACCACTGAGCCAAACCGGTTTCAGCCACCTCCCCTTTTTCATGCACACTCTGCTGCAGGAGTTAACAAAATTCGACAT